AGTTTGGATTTGTGAACCTAATGAACATCAGCAATATGACATAAAACAGTAACGAATCCCAACGTCTACGTCTGTGTTATTTGTGCTGATTTGATATCTGTTAATATATGTGTGTCTGTGCACAAATGTCTTAATGCATCCTAGTATGAAAAATGTAATCACTATGTGTGTGATCAGGTAATATAGCACAGTGAACATAATGAACAATCCCTATACAAGCATGATATGATTTGTGCTATAATGACATAAAACAGTAACAAAACTAAAACTATTATTACACATAGATAATTAAAAAGAGCAACAAGGATGTGAATTTACTGAAATTGAAAACTTAGTGAAGAATGTATATTGTTTGTCATCCCGAAGTCAAATCTTTAATGAACATAATGAACAGCCCCTATGTAGTTAGTCTTCAAAACTAAAACTATTATTACAAAAAGTAGATAATTAAATAGAGCAACAAGGATGTGGATTTTACTAAAATTCAAAACTTAGTGAATAATGTATATTGTTTGTCATCCCGAACTCAAATCTTTAATGTTGGCGTGTTCACATTAACGTGTTCACATTAGTGAAGAATGTATATTGTTTGTCATCCCGAACTCAAGTTTATTGTGTTAACTTTGTTAACCAATCTTGGTCATTGATATTTGAAATTTGTGGCTAAGATCATTCATGACATAAAGTGTAATTAATTGTACACATAGACAAGGTAACATAAGTGAACAATATTTACAAGGGGTATTTTGGGAAAAAGATTTTAGTTGTCCATTAATGACAATGAGATGTTTTGTAACTACCCATTAATGATAGTGAGATGTTTTGTAACTGCCCAATAATAACAATGTAATTATCCAGGAATTAATTATGTCATCGAATCAAAACCAACAGCAAGATCCCCGACACCAGATTCTTCTACAGTTTTTTTTGTTAATAGGTCATATGTAAACAAGTATTCGATATTTATGGGAATTGTTCATGTGTGAACAGGGGTATGGAAAAAAAGTCATAAAGGACACAAGTGTGCATATATATCAAACTATGTTTTTGCATCTGACACAAGGGTTCATATATGTCAATTTGTGTTCGTAATTGACACAAAGGTTCATATATGTCAAGTTGTGTTCATATGGTTGTACGTATGTTCATATATGTCAATTTGTGTTCATATGGTCACACATATTCATCATCTTTCGTATGATCATTTATGTCAATATGTGTTCATATTTATACCAACTGTACATATACGTCAATCTATGTTCGTAACTGACACAAGGGCTCATATATGTCAATTTGTGTTCGTAATTGACACAAGGGTTCATATATATCGAGTTGTGTTCATATGGTTGCACGAATGTTCATATATGTGAATTTGTGTTCATATGATAATATATGTTCAGCATCTTTCATATGTTCATTTGGGTTAATATGTTCATATTTATACCAACTGTACATATAGGTCAATTTGTTTTCGTAATTGACACAAGTGTTCATATATGTCAATTTGTGTTCGTAATTGATACAATGGTTCATATATGTCGAGTTGCGTTTATATGGTTGCACGAATGTTCTCATATGTGAATTTGTGTTCATATGGTCACACATGTTCATCATCTTTCGTATATGTTAATTTGAACGACACCGAAAACTTTACTACCGGGTCTCCTCCACCAATCACAAATTCATAAACATTAGAGATAGAAAATCAATATTAAAAAAAATAACAAGATTAATAATAAGTTAACACAAGTCATGGGATTTTATGATTTTGTAACTCTCAATTAATGATATAGGAGTTACATAAAAAAGAAAATTACATATGTACCCTTATCATTAAATTCTAAGATGGATATGAATCTAATACTAAGATGTATTGTGATTGATTGAAAATAGTTAACAAAGTTAACACAATAATTTTGCTTAACATTTGAACCAAGCACGCTCTTTCTCTTTATATATATATATATATATATATATATATATATATATATATATATAAGGGCCTAATCAAATGAGAATTGATTAGTTTGTGGTAACTGTGAGGTCCAATGTGAGTCAATCATTTAAATAATTAATGTTATATCCAAAAATAATATAAAGGGTAATTTGGTAATGTTTATATACATAAAACCCTAGATGATACTTTCTCCTTCATCTACTTCTTCTCCAGCCACCACCATCACCCCCATCTACTTCTTCATCGGCGGTTTCCTCCCTTTCCACAACCATCTCATCTTCTCCTTTATCATCACTAAACGTGTTCTACTATTATATTTGGTCGACGACTGTTTCTCCAACGCCACTCGCATATTCGAAAACGTGTTCTGAGAAGCACGAACGCCGACAACAACTCCGTAAAGATCAACGACTGCTACGGTGAGCCGGTTTCCGGCGGACGCAGACCAGATGGATACTTCAGGGGCGCTCTGGGGAGTGGCGGTAACGTTGTTTGCCACCAAGGACGAGAACGGAAGCTCGCCGATGTATGGATCGAACGGACACTTAATTCTCGTTACTCGCTTCCTCTTCCTTCTCACTCTCTTCCGATAAGTTCATCGTCTCCGGTTGAATCGTTGGCGATATATGTGGTTCGCCGTTATCGCCGTCCATTTTCACCGGTGAGATGAAACCCTACGCCGGAGATGTAAACCAGATATCGTCGAGGATGTAACTCCGAAGATGTCCCACTCCTTCTCTGTGGGAAAAAGTTGTGAACTGTATCAGATCACAGTGTATCACAGGTTTATCACAATGGATTTTGATTTTGTTTTTATGGATTGAGTTGATATCATAGTTGGTATGACAATGGTATCACAGTATATCACAATGGGTATCACATTGTGTATCTTTGTGATTACTTGGTACCTGCCGGAATAATGTTGGCCGGAGGCCGGAGATTGGAGGTCCGAGAGAGGAGAGAGGAGTTTTTTAAAAATACCTAAAATGCCCTCTAATAATAATTTTAACTCAAACTACCATAATTACTAATTTCCTTATTTATCCGTTGATTTGTGGTTAAGATTGGATCTCACAGTTACCACAAACTAATCAGTTCTCTCTTAAATGGCCCCTATATATATATATATAATTTCAAAAAAATGAACAACCTACAAACATTTCATCAACCGTTAGATTTAATTGGTCTAATAGATGTTGATTAAAAAGGCTCTTACAATTTTACTCTATATTTATATAACAAATCACTCCAATATTTAACTATGATTGGTCCTTTGAGAAGAAAAAACCAAATAAATTTCTCTTATCTGGACAAAAGTTGATTACCAACAACTCTAATATGTCCCATACGAAACTCATCTCTTGCATGTGGCTCAGTTGACAAAGGAGCGGAGTGATTTCGTCATTGACTATAAAAACCAATAAGAATAAAAAAAATATATAAATGGTTTTACCAACACAAATTGGGTAAATGTTTACCAACTAAGAATCACTATCCTCATTTACCTTACCAGTTAAAGTTTTTCAGTCATCTAAATAGCATAATATAAACGTTTCTCACCCAATAAGCATTAACCAAGTAAGAGTCACCACCTTAAGATTCTCAGTTACCAAAATGGTGGTACACAGTAAGATTGTTAATAAAAACCATCATATCTTACCGGATAAGCGTCTCTTACCATCAATTCATGGGCCCTTTTCATCGATCAGGGGTCATAAGTCTTGGCGATACTCGTATCACCATGTACTAGGCACGTCAGGTCACTAGTCGGGCTTAGACAATCGGTCATGCTTCGAACAAGGATCAACGAGCTGCCCGCCTAGGTGGTGTTGCGAGGCATACAACACCATAGTTTGCCTCGACCCGCAACTCCACGTTACTTGGCATGTCCCATTGCTAGCATAGTTTCGCAACCGTAAATGTTTAATCATAACGTAACTTCTGATCATGTTTACACGAACGTTTAGTAATACATATAAACACAGTGTAATAGTATTTCAAGCGTACCAGTGTACCACTAACTACACAAGTTTCATGTATTAATCACCCATATCGTATGTCGTATAACTTAAACTAATCGTCATCGGGATCGGCAGAGTAGTCGGGTTCTTCGGGCTTCTGTAGCTTGATCAATTCGACATCCTTCGTCTTCAGTATTCCTCTCCTCGTGTTTGCCGCAAATCTCGAAGCTAAAATCGTCACGTTGAGATTTTGCATGGCCGAGTTCGGATTGTACGATGCGGCCTCCTCGGAAAGTTCGGTTTCATGACCTTGTTCATCATCGTCGTCATCGGGTCGATATGATGATTCGCTCATGCTAAGGTTCCACGCCATTCTCCGTTTCTTGATCCGCCGCCAAGCCGCCTGAATGAAACATGCGGCCCATGTCCGCCAGTGATATGAGTAGAAACGGAACGTGTGTTGCAGTTTCTTGCTGTGTAAACGTCGGAATTGATTAGCGACGAATTTGAGATCTTCGGCACGTAACGCAAAAGCTTCGACTTCGTTTAAGGCTCTCACAGTTCTCGTGGAAGACGGAAGGTTGAGGGTGGATTTCGGTAGTAAGGCCCATGCGAGCAACTCTTCGCCACAAAAGTCACCGGGCCGCAAAGTAATCGAGTTGAAGAAACCTGTTCGACCTCCGTTGGTCGTTGAGCTATCGAGTCTTCCGCGGATGATAAAAAGCATCTCGGAGACGGGATCGCCTTCCCGCACAATGTACGTGCCTTGGGTACTTAGAGATGACACCAAACGCTCGCATATAGCGTCAAGTAGTTGATCATCCATTTGAGAGAAAAAGGGGACCTGCAAACGAACAATTACCAACTTAATCATTTTGTACAAAAAGTCATCCGATCCAATTAGAACCGACCGATCATAATTGGATATCCAATTGTAATTGGGACGGAACCAATATTTCAACATCCATATTGGATTCATCGTTTCTTGAAATGACAGCACTGAATCCAATAAACCTAACAAGCCAATCCAATACAATTGCCATTAAATCACCCATCCAACTACCATCTATTATAATTAATAATATTTCCGATATTGTTTTTCGTGATGTTTTATGTCACTTTTTAGAAGAATTATATTCGGGTTGAAATGGTGGATTAGAAATGCAAGTATTGGATGGATACAATCTGATCTAATGGATAACCAATAGTAATAATATCCAAAAAATGGAACTAATCCGATCTAATCACCCATTGGATTGGATTGGATCTGATGGCAAAATCCGACATCCAATGGATAATAAGATCAAGCCAGATCCACCTAAATTCATTGGATTTCAACCAATGAACACCACTACTACAAACGATAAAGCCGACACGTAATTCAATAATTCAAGAAAACAATGTCGATCTTACCCGTCGAACGAGATCAAGACACAAGTGGCGTTGGATGTCTCGACGTAGATCAGTAGGCAAAGCATGCAAAATAGATTCTTCATCAACTCCGCGAGTTGCAAGCCATTTGTACTGAACGAACTTCCGTACACGTTCTTGTAAGTCGCTAGGCAGTTGTCGATGTCTCATCCATTCTTCAGTATCTCGCCGCCTAAGCCTCCATTCCTCGAGCCTTACAGTAATAGATTGCAGGTAGGTCTACAAGAACATTAGTTTAAAATATGCATGTAATACAGAGACTACAAACAGAATATTCACATTCGTAAAACTGATCAGTAAGCCTTTTGCCACAAGATAGTAGTATTTTAGGAGATGAACGGAATAGCCAGGATCTACCGTGCCCGTTATATTGGCTTGATGTAAAGAATGCCTTACTCTAAGGTATTCTTGAGATGTATATGGTCCAACCACCGACTAAGTGCTTACTTTCCAATTTTACCCTTAATTATTCATTACTTCCTCTATTACTAAGGGTAAAATCGTCATTTAGTTAAGTAAAAATTGTAATAATTACACATTTCAAAAACTTTGTGCCTTTGCAGACATTTATTTTGGGACATGGGACAGGTTTGCATACATCCCACCCCCTAGACCCAACTCCGAGTGGGATAAACTGGATCAGTGTGGTTTGGTTTGAATTTTTGTTCATGCTACTAAAAAGAAGAAGCTCAAGTCATGAGAGCTCTTCCTAATTAAATTTATGCAACATCATGTAGCAGACACCTCTAATGGAACCACATAACAAGCAAGAACCTAAATTGAGAACCAAGACCCTCAGTGGGACAAGTTGAGCATATGACAAAGTGTATCCCGATTTCTTGCAATAACCGCATTTGATCTTGTTTTAGTGTTTTGTGCCTTTGGTACGCAGACGGGATTGGACTGGATTGGACAAAACCGGACAAGACAGTACTGGATGGGCAAAAGAATTGTGCAAGGCTTTAATTTGACATGGCCACATGGGACAAAAAGATGCACTTTTGTGCCACCCAGTCATGTCCTGGTCTTAATGTCACACCAAACATGGGGCAACAAGTTTTTGTCATGTACTGTCCTGTCCCACGTGCAGATGCACATCCTCTCTTTTGGAGCTCATGTTTCTTTAACAAAAAGTAACAAGTTGAACCATCTATAATGCGATGATTTCATCTCTGACAAAACATATCATGTAACAAACAGAATTAACTCAATTAAATGAGAAAAATGTGGTACTTTCTACATACCTGCATATTTCCAATTAAATGGGCAAATAATACAAGTCCCATGATGGCAATGAGTATGGCAAATGATGTTTCTCCAATAAACGTGCTTGTGGACAAATTCTGTCCATATGAACTGCATACAGTGAAAAACCACAATCAACTTGCAAGTTAACCTTTTTGGTATAAAATTTTACAAAATTGATATGAAACAACCATCGCTTAGTTCACTGATGTTTAAATCACTTGAAGTTCAGCTGTCTAATGGTGGCTTCCAAAGGTTTGCAAGGAAAATTATACTTTTGCAGCTTTGTTGATCAATAAGCTAGAGGAGGACAGGCTTAACACCCAAAATCTAATCTAAAATAATTCTCTAGTATGTGTTGTCGTACCTACCTTTTCAGACAAAGCGTTATGAGTGACCTTATTTAACCAACATTTCTTCTACTGAACAGATAACAGCATATACGGGTTCTTTGGTTAAATGACCTTCTGACAAGTTCTTTTTGAATTCATGACCGGGTTTTTTTTTAATCCATGACTTTCTGACATGTTTCTTTTTAAATCCATGACCTTCTGACAAAGCTTTTTTTATAAATCCATGACCTTCTGACAAGTTTTTTTTAAATCCATGACCATCTGGCATGTTTGACTTTTGAGAACGTCACTGCTTAACAGAAGAATGCCACTTTCCATACACAATAATGCAAAAAACCCGTCGGTCATGGATTTAAAAAGCACTTGTTTGGAGTTCATTTAGCTAAATAACCCCAGCATTATCATTGCTTACTCATCTCTAGCTTTTCAAATCCTGACTTAAGGGCATGTTTACTTGTGGCTTAATGAGCTTACCGGATAAATGGGCTTATTCGCACAGCCATTTTAGGCTGTTTACTTCGGGCTTATTCGCCCAGACTCGGGCTTATTCGCACAGCAGGAAACCATTACTTGTCCACATTAAGCCAAGAAAAAGACGTGCCTACCCTTCAACAAAACCCACGCCTCTCTTTTCTCCTCCAATAGTCGCTACTTCTAATCCAATCTTCTCCTCCAATCTTCTCCTCCAAGAACCCTAATCGGCTGAAATAGTTTCTCCTCAAATCAAGGCTCTCTTCTCCAAAGGTAACGCTTCTCCTTATCTATAGATTATGCTCGATTTTGCTGCTCGTTGCTGCTCGATTTTATCTGAATATACTCGATTTTCTCCATTGACAGTCGACGCCCTCTTCTCCTCCAAAGAACCCTAATCGGCCGATTGCTCTCCATCGACAGTCTACGTTGTCTTCTTCTCCATCGACAGTCTACGTTGTCTTCTTCTCCATCGACAGTCTACGTTGTCTTCTTCTCCATCGACAGTCGACGCTGTCTTCTTCTCCATCGACAGTCGACGCTGTCTTCTTCTCCATCGACAGCCGATTGCTCTCAAGTTCCATATCGATTTCATGTTTGTTCGATTTTTGTTTGCTTGTGTTTGCTGCTACCCTAGCTGCTTTTTATTGATTTCATGTTTGTTCAATTTTTGTTTGCTTGTCTTTGTTGCTAGAAAGAAACCCTAGCCGAGCCATGAAAGTTGTTTATTCTGTCAGTTGTTTATTTTGTTTTATTCTCAGGGGTAAATTGGTCATTTCTGTTATTCAGACTGATGATTCAGATAGAAAAGTAAACATCAACATAAATTTATCCAGACAGACAAATTTATCCAGACAGGCAAATTTATCCATACAGGACTTAATATAAAATTTGGTAAACAGCCCCTTATCTGTGTAAAGGTCAGGTCTACGTACGTCTTACCCCCCCAAGACCCCACCTCCGAGTGGGATATATTGGGCTCGTTTGGTTTGGTTTAGGTAACAACAGAAATATGGAACCGTACCTCAAGTTTTGTAGTCCCCACCACAAGCAGTAGAAGTACTTTTCAAAGAAGTTGGAGGACACGACACCTTTTGCAACAGCGTCTCCAAATATCCCATACTTGAAACTTGTATTGTTGTCAGGATCACAAATACCAAAAAGATTTGTCCCATTGGCCCATTGCTTTCGGTCATCGTTGTCTGTAGAACCACAATCCAAATAACGAAGTGAACAAATCATTGGATCAACATCACTTCGGCAAGTAGATTTCCAACATGTTGCATGCCGTTCAAATGACAACAAGTACCATGATGCCCCTAAAACCTACCAAAACAAGATGCCTCATGATTTAGCCAAAATTGCTGCTGAAAATTGAAACTTGTAACCGAGAGAAGGACGACAAAAAAAGCTTCAAAGATTAAGAAAGGTTGCATACATGACTAGCTAACATGTATAACACAAGATTATATGCAGCCCCAGCCCAAGCGGTCTTGGTAACAACTCCTGTAGCTTTGATGATTTGAGAGCTCAAAGGAAAAATCAAATAGAATCTGGGAACATACTGAAGGAGGACAATCAGAACAAGCGCATTGGTGGTGTGATCAGCATTGGGAGTTCTAATTGCCGGTATAATGAACCATATCACAATCTGAGTAAAATTCAGAAAGAACACCATGTGAGTTCAAAATTGTATAAGTTTGCACCCAAAAATGAAAACAAAATAATGTGTTAACAAGCCTAAATTTTAGGTGTACAACCCCAAATACATGAACATTATGTTCTGATCTGTTTCCATTGGTAATGTCTTGTATAGCTCCAAAGCTGGATCCAATATGAACCATAGAAAGAATATTAACTTAAAACTTTGGATTATACATTCGGCTCCCTCAATTCCATCAAAACTGCATCAATTTCCATCCCGGGATGTCCCAAGAAGATTGCAGTGTTTCCTTTTTCTTGGCACATTTTCAAGTTAAGTTTACTTATTTGCCGGCAATTACAAATTGGTAATGTGAGAATATGTGGAACCCGTTAGATTGATCTTCAAAAAGAGCTGTTTAGGAGAGATGGGGGATTCCAACATATATAGGATAAATTGATCCAAGTCTAGCCGACATGAGACTCTAAACAAGCCCCTTTAAATGAGGCTAGACAGGCACAAATTGTCCTAGAGTGTTGAGTCCCTAGACTCCTAGAGTGGCAGACCTTGGCTCAGATGCCATGTAAGAATATGTGGAACCTCATTAGATTACTCTCCAAAAGAGCCTTTGAAGAGAGAAGGCAGATCCTGACATATATAGAGGTAAAATGATCCAAGTGAGCTGATGTGAGACTCTTAACAGGTACAAAATTTTCCTATTTTGAATTTCTTTATCAATTGAAGGATATTTTAGACATGTGATCAGTAATCAAACACTTGTATGCATTTTAGCTGAAAACAGGATAAACTAAAAGAAGAGAAAACAAAGTCACACCTGTGGAAGAGGCAATGTTGCAACAAGATCAATAAAGAAATCTGACTTCAAATACCTCCAGGCGATCTTCTCAGGATCCATAACAAGTTCACCTCTGCCTAACACCCTAGAACTTGGCGAAATGTAGGCTGTCCTGAACTTAATAGCTATATGTAACATATAAAATATATCCGCAATTGTGCGTAAACAAGTAACCACAATCCCCAAATTCAAGTCAGACATCATACAAGAAGAACCATCCTCCTTCTGTACAGAAGGAAGGTAAAAGAATAAGGGATCCACAAAAAGTGCCACTAAACAAGAGAAAAGAAAAATCCTGTTCCATTGCAAGATAACTTCACTTCCAGGATCCAGAATCCTTCTGCCCTTTGAATCATTATTTTCTTCTGGATGAACTCTGGATTTCCCAAATTTAATACCCATATGACTAGAAATTGGCATTGCTCTACCTTTAACACCATTCATCAACAATGGAGCTGATGACAATTTGTGTTCAGGAAATTGCTTTCCGGGAATTTGCCATGAATGTTCGAAGTTCGATTTCCCAATTTCTCCGTTGTAAAACCTATTTGATTCACTTAAAAATTTCAACAAATGTTTGCTAGAATTGAACAACATGAATGTGGAACATGCATATATAGCAAAAAATAATAGCAAATTGGCAGATTTTCACCTGACTTGCTTCTCCTTTTTGAAGTCCATGATGGAGAATTAGGGCAGAAAATTACAGTCTTAAAAGCGAAGAAAGAACAATACTCAGATGGAAATCTTGCATTTTTCCTCCACAAATTGTGCTTCTTTCTGTGTCTGCTAAAATTAAAACCCTAATATGATGTAGAGAGAGAGAGAGATGCCATTATTCATGAATTGATCAATCACAATGCCGGAAACCCACAAGATTTTGGGAATCTAAAATCGGGTCTGAGAGAGAGATGATCTTGCAGGAATTGAATGAGCTGAAACTGTGTTTTGGAAGGAAAATAGTAAACTACAACAATGGTCCCGAGACTATACGCATTTAACATTTTTAGTCCCTTAAATTTTCGTTTTTACTTTCCAAAAACATTTAATGCTAATCTTGTAATAAAGGTCGTTTATGTAATGACCCAAGCTCTGCAACACCAATCTTGACTCGAATGTTTGAAAGTATGATTGTGTTTCTTCGAGTTCTGATTATTCAAGTCAATTTAAGTCATATGACCATGATTTTTCTCGAACCGGGCATGTTCATGTCATAGACTGACCTAAAGGGGTAGTTAGGTGGCACGTGTCACCGTATTGTTCATCCGTGGTAAGGTAAAAAAAATTAGGTTCGTGAAAGGTACAACCGTTTTATTCTAGAAGGTGCAACCGTTCTATATGGTGCTACCATATCCAAAAATTCTTGGGTCCGTCCCTGATTCATGTGTTCTTAGATCACACAATAAAAATATAGAAGTTAAAGAAAGTTGCTGCTAGCATTGTCCTTCGAGCTCGAGCCAATAATACATGTTAATCAATCTCAAGTTCAAGCACTTAAATGGGTTTATAAAGTTTGAACTTTTGATTATTATGTATATCGTAAAATTGTTAAACAAGTATTCGGCTCGAACTCCAACATTAAAAAGTATATATCTTATTTCGAACTCGAACCCTGTTTGAAATGATTATTCAACATCGACTTGATATTGTTTTCTGAATCTGAGCTCAAACAATGTGTTGCTCGGCTTGACTCGTTAACAACCATAACCCTAATTGTAGATTGATCAGTGTTAAGAGTTTGATTTTTTTAGGATATAGGTGGTAAGGGTTTGATTTTGTTTCTGTGTTTAGATGTTCTATTTGTTGTTTTAATTTGTAATTTATCCATTTTTTTGGTAACTGTAGGTTTTCAGGTCAGTTTATACGCATCGACTAATCTTTTAAACGACCACAAACAGTCTGGAATCATCGCATGTGAACCTCCATGGCCACAAGGTCTTTAGTAACACCTAGATTAGAAGCTGATATATTAAATATGTTTGTCTTATGAGTTTATGAATGTTAGAAGTGTGTTTGAACACAAAGATGGTGAATGGATACAAATGTCACTCACTTAACGGTTTTGGATTTTGGATAAAACCGTTAGTTGCAAAAACTCGAATGAAACCGATTCAACGATTCACGCAAAAAAAAACAGAGAACAACTTTTAATGAACTAAAACTGCAAGATGATATATAGTTTAGGGGCTATTTTGTAATTTACTCTATGTAAAATAGTCTTTCCCGAGTGGGTAGTTGACTTTAAGTCGTCATGTAGAAAGAAAAATTAACAACATAAATAATTTCCCCCTCAACTATTCATAATTAACAATTTTAGTCCCCGCTATTATCTCTATACCCATACGTCTTATTGCATACCCAAAAAAAGAGTAGTTTTATTTTGCCATACCCAATATTAATCGGTAATTTTACCCAAAGGATAAATAATAATATTCAAGTGCTATAATTGCATCTTAACCCATGAGCAACCATGTGGTATCTATAAAAGCAAGAAATACTGATATAATTGGATATTTATGGTAGGAACGGATCCAATAATTTTTTGGATATGGTGACACCATATTAAACGGTTGCACCTTCTAAAACAAACGGTTGTACATTTCGCGAACCTAATTTTTTTACTTTACCAAAGAAGAATAATACGGTGGCACGTGCCACCCCAACCACCCATCTGGGTCCGTTCCTGATTTATGGGTACCCAAATACTGGTAATTGTTGATAATGTATACATCATCACAAAACCAAAGAAAACGAACTTGATATATCCGCTGAAGTAGGGTTCAGGAAAATGAATGTCTAAAAGTGAACTAAAACGTGTTGTTAAAACTACTCTTTAAACTACATTAGTAGTCCCTCAATTGTCAATTAATTGCAATTTTAGCACCTGAAATACTTGATGGATTACGACAACTTTGAATTTGATTAATTTTGAAATTTGCTTGATATAGTTTTTATTATTTCAAAGTGTATGGACTATATCTGCCAAATGATGAAAATGAGAGGGTCATTTATGTAAGATTGTGAAAACATAAAACAAAAACGAAAGACAGCTCAGAGTGTTGACAAGCAAAGCAAGTGAGGTGAAAGAGGTCGTGGATGGCACAACCTGTGCCGCCCTTTCCTGCAACACGACAAAATCATGTCTACATTTCAAAAATAAAACATTTTAATTCCTTAATTTTATTAGAAGGGTACTCGTGCAATGTAGCGAGATACATTTTTATTTTATTTTTTTATTTTATTTTTTATCTCAGTCGATGTTATAGTATGGTCTTATATGATTTTGAAAAAGCGATAATGTTTTTATTTTTTAATAAAAATAAATTTAAAAATATCATAAAATTTTGACAAAAATATATCGATATTAGTATCAAATTGACTATTTAAAATCCATATTTTTTGTGTAAGAATATAAGTTCAATAACGAAGTAATTTATATTTGGTTTAATAATATAATTTTCTTATAAAGATAATAATTAATCATTTTATTAGAATTCGATAATTATCCTAATTATATATTATATTTTTTTATTTTAAAATGAGATGTTTATTCCCCATTTGATTATGTTTATCAGCAGTTAGCTACACGAACTCAAACATTGAGCTTTAATAAGTTGTACTTATGCATAATTTACTTGTAATTTTGAATTTTAAATAATATGCATCAATATACAGTACTTCATGCATAATTAAAAGGTTTTTTAGAGTTTTTGTGAAATGCTTTATAATATAGTATAGATATATTAATATTAAATGTTGATGTGACATACATGAAACTTGACGTGTTTTTTAAAAAGTTCATACAAAACAGATGTTTTTCATAGTATAGACTCTTAAATACATACTTTTTAAATTACAGATTCTTAAATATGTATTTTGAACGCATTTAAATAGGAATTCATCTAAATTACGCTTTATTTCTTTTTATAAAATTTGCTCTTAAAAATACACCTTTTAATTCAAATTTATTGAGACATTAATTTTTAGGTACGTCCACATGTAAATGTCGGTTCTTGTCATTTCAAAAAGTCGATATCTTATTGTTCATAGACGTCATTTTGATCCCTTTAAGTCATATAAAACATTTGTATTTTTTTTATCGATGCCAAAAACGTTTAAAAATCTCAACATCGTTCTACTTTATTTTGGTCCCATACATGGGTAAAACGGTTGATCCTCAAATGGATCTCAACCTCGAGTAGCCTTGAATTGGTCCCTATGTAACCGATCTTTAGGACAATGACCATGGCTGATTATAACCGGTCGAACCAGGTCTTTAGAACCAACCATTCAGATCTTTTTTATTTTAATATAGTATATTGATTATAACAGATAATGGTGTTAGAACATAAAATTTATGTACCCAAATCAAATAATACTTTATTTATTTGATTAAAAATAAATATAAAAAACTCTGGTATTTATGATTCAAATGTTTAAAAAATCTTCTTCGATTGTCATATTGTCATCATTGATTATCGTTGATGCACTGAAAAATTTATAATTTTTTTTTGACCGGTCCATGTGTAACCAGTTCTCACATGAATGTTATAACAGGTCTAGATTGACCAAGCCTAACTGGGTTTTTTTAACCGGTCGTTGGTCTTGGGACTGGTCCCCTTAACAGGGCCTTTGTCCCCGTCTCTCTTTAACGCTACACATACTTACTGCAACCGATTATAAACGGCTAACATCATTTTCTTTCTTTCTTTGTTGCATGTGTTAAATCAAACTTAATAGAAACAGATGCTTATATTATGTATGTGGATTTCGTAACTCATTATCTACAATACATGTTGGACATGCACCGAATGATATATTCAATCACGAAATCGTCATAAATGCAACTAGTTGTGTGATACTAGACGATGAAAAGCTCAAAGGAGAAGTAAATGAAACTTAAAAGCGTTGGATCTGATTGCTCGAAGTGGTTTTTTAACGAATGTTCTATAACTATATACAAATACTGATCAATTCATGTAGCTTATCTGAAATGTACATTGTTCCTCATGGTTTCAAAAGGTTCATACCTGCAAGCCATCCTACATCTTCGCTAATTATACGATGTTACGATAAATATTAGGGGTTGTTTGGATCATGGGAATTGAAAGTAATTGAAAGGAATTGGAATGCCCAATCATTTGACCAAATTCCAAATAGAGTGTTTGGTTCATGGAATAAGACTACGGAATCCTTTCAATTCCAGTCGATTCCTTCACGCACAGATTTTACAATTCCATGGCAATATGCTAGGATTTCAATTCATTTCTTACAGATTCCTTCCCTAATCCAATTCCATGCAACCAAACGCAATCACAAGGCATGGTCAAATTCCATCAGATTCCATTCCATTCCCTCAAAGTCAAATTCATTTGATGAATTCTAATTCCATCGAAGTCCATTCTACGAACCAAACGCCCCCTTAGAGATGAATAAAATGATCAAAATTCGATGATCTATATGTCAATGGGTCCAAATTGTTCGAGATTGATTAGGTTTGTCAAGCCCATATTAGGCCCGCTAGTAACATTCAAAGTTTAGTTATGAAGACGATCGGGCAAAGCTAAGTTAGTAGTAAAGCCCGATAAAGAATCGAAACTAAGAGCCTATTTAGAGATTAATGGTATGGGAAGCTTATTCGTTAAGTCATATATGATCGTTAATTTGTAGCTTAATGATCAAGCCATCATCTTAATTTGGCTTAATTGGGACAATCCCTACCCTTTTTAAATGCATTAAGTAATGCTCCTTCAAACTCTACCATTCGTCTTGTGTTACGTGTAATTTGCGGAGGGGTTAAAAACAAAAACTAGAATTAGCATTCTTTTTTGTATTTATTGATTAAAAAAATTACGGTAATATTTTTGTAATATGATATATTATTCATTTAACATAAAATGTTGTTCATTTGTTGTATTGAATAAACAGTCTGAATGTCAGAAATAACAATTTTACCCCTCAATCTATATTTAAGAACCCCAATTCCAAACTATTCACTTCCAAACATATCAAACCAAATCAGAACAAATTCATTCTAAAAAATAAAAAATATCAAGTCTTAATATTTTTTTAAACCTAAAATGTAAAATCTTTAAATTAAAGTCAATGATCAAATCTTTAATTGTTGGTGGGATTTTAGGCAGGGGATTCTTGTTGGGATCAAATGGTTAATGATCAAACCTGATCAAACCAGCATTCAGAAATTTCAAGGAACATCAAAATAGATAAAAGTTTGTTTTTGGCCCTCCAAGTTTCGGTATATAAATTATAGCCCTTGATTTAAAAAGATTAATTCTAAAACAATGTTTAAAATAAAGAAAAATGACTAAAAGACTATTTTACTCTTGATTTTAACAGACATAGTAGACAGTCATTTGGTCGATGGACCAAATCCAACATAAAGTACATACCACAAGGCATTTTATGTAATAAATGAAGTCAGAAGACCATTTTTTTAAAAATATACATACCACAAGGCCTAACGGTTTGTAAAGCCAAGCCCTTAAACTTCGTTCTTTGTAGTTTTTTGGTTTATTCAATTGAAATGAAATCAACAAACGGAACAAACATGACAATGAAACGAGTTATCACCACTTCGTGTGCGTAAAACTAAGCTTAACGGCTTGGAAGCAAAGAGCGGGCCTAAAAAAGACCAGATTATCGGATACAGCCAATTCTTCTTATGCATCTCTATCCCGACGACAACAAACTTGACCAACATCGCAAAGCGGCATGTCAACCAATCAAAAAACAGTAGATACATCCCAACAACATTAAGATCAAAAGAATAGAAATCCATAGGATAAATAGAAATTCTTATTCACTTTATAAATGGAAAAGGACCATAAGACTCTTTTTGTCCCTTCAAGAATGTAACAAGTCAAAAGAATGCACCACATGTCATGTCTTTCCTCCATCACACCCAAACTACTATTTCTGCTCCTACCTAAAAACCAAAACACCATCCATCCCTGCCCATGAGACTTTCATATTTCCAAATTTTCTCAAACACAGAAACAGTTCAGTTCAGTCTAGTCCGGTCCAATCTTAGCTAACGCTGATCGTTAGACTATGTTAGTCTGCAAGTTTATTGAACCAAAGACCCTTTAGAGCCTCCATTTGGGAGCACACGTGATTCAGTATTTGACTTCACCATGTCAGATGATACGGAACCGTTGTTCTTCAAACATGGTTTTTCTTTCCCTTTAGGGTCGCTGATGTTTTCCTGAGGCTTCAAATCTCCGTTAGCCTGTTCCGTTTCAACAGAGACTTCTGCAGTTTTCTTGGTGCTAAGAATTTTCCGTGGTCGTTTCCCGAGGAATCCAGGGGAGATGAGCGGCTTCAATTTTGCTACTGAAGAACTTGTGTTTACCAGTTTCCTGGAAGCATCTTCCAGATTGGTGATGGTGGACTCAACTTTCTCGGGCTTACATCCAAAATCTACAGAATCCATCCCATTAGCTTCTTCACCGTTGCTTGAACCAATATCATCAGTATGAATCTGAACAGAAGCAGGTTTGTTTGTTATATCAGTTCTGTTATCGGTTTCAATATCGCACACTGGCAACGAGACTTCAGTATGTTGTGGAGTAGATGCTTCAGTATCAGTAGACGAGCAGAATGTATCTTCGACAGGCAAAGCGGGCCCCACACTGCCGGCCTTGCGATTGCCATAATCTCCATCGTCCACTAAAACAGAAGAACTAGCAGCATCTGAATCTGGTGCATCCATGTCCATGGATGACTTTTGAGATGCAAAAATGTTTGATGGCAAAGAATTAGCACGCATCACAGTAGCATCAACCGACTCTGCAGCCAACGAGCACTCAGCAGGTTGCCTTGTAATAGGGATCGTTTCTTGGGGTACATTTGATGCTTCAAGCTCCTCCTTTTTAGAAGTTTGGTCAATAGGATTTAAGCATGAACGTCTGGCAGAGACCCTGAAAAGAATTAACAACAAACATGCAAATGTAAAAACACAAATAGTATATATCATAGAGCTTAAAGTCAAATACCAGTAAACAACACTGATTACAAAATGCAATATTGATCGTCAAGAAAGATCAGTGGAGACAAACAACACTGATTACAAAATGCAATATTGATCGTCAAGAAAAATCAGTGGAGACATATTTCTTACGCTTAGCACTTGGGTAAAATTTGAAAGTTTCAGTTCTCAAGTCATAGATTGTCATCCATGTGGGTTTCCGTTTATTTCATTTGCTCAAATACTTGTTACACATAACCACACACCAACAATCTAAACGTAGTAAGAACACATGAGTACAGACTAAGGGACCCTTTACCAGCACAAAATGGGTAAGTGCTAACCAGGTAAGAGTATGGTCTATGTTAGCATTTGTCATTGACCGAGTAAGAGTCCACCGGATCAGCATCTTGGCCGACATCATGGTCCGGTAAGAGGCCGTGAGCAGGCAGTAAACAAACAGCCCCTAAGTCGCATATAATATATATATATATATATGGTGATAGACTCTCCTGGTTTTTTGGTTCTATTCTTCTTGGTAAAAGTTGTTTTCCAAACTTCTCTTGCAAACAAGTGATTTGTGCAAAAGATAAAACTCCTTCCATCCCAAAAGATGCAATGTTTGACCTTGACTTGGCGTACATACTTTTTTGACTAAGAATCAAATAAATAAAAGTTTCCCTTAATAATAGAAATTTGAGAGAACTTGCAGACTAAAATCAATCATCTTGTAATGACCGCTAATGGGCAAAAGATAAATTCAGAGTTAATTAAATTTTAAGCTATAGTTGTAAGATTACCCTAAGCTTGACTTCGTACAAGTTTGGTTAATTGCAATGCATACATGTATATTTTTTTGGGTCTAAATTTGATTATGCTCATACAAAGCAAACATTTAATCATAAACTGTAAAGTTATCTTGCAGCTGTTATTGAATGTTCAAAGATCATATACTACTATTATTATTCAAGTTGGAGATTTAGAGTATCTCTAACAGGTATGCTATATTTTCTCTCTCTTGTTCCAAATTTGGAGATTTTTCCTCTCTTTCCTATTTTTCTCTATTTTAGAGGGAAGTTTAGCACAGCCATTGGAGCAAGCTTTTCCCAGATCTCCAAAAAGAATAAAATAACATAGTTGTTGGAGATGCTCTTAATATTCGTTATATATGCTCCTTTATGATATACACATGTATAGATTGATGGACTTGGTGTTGGTACAAATCCATTTGTTGGAAGTTGAGACGGTATGAGTATGAGTTTCTCACAGCTTCATTTAAAAATTGCTTCTCTGAGATGGCTACTCACCAAAAAAATTATTAATAATGATGATAAGATAACACCAGACCTAGCCCGGTCCCTACCTTTGCCAACAAAGTTGTTAAAGGCTCAAGGCGCACTTAGGCGCAAAGGGTTCCGGCGCCTAGGCACGAGGCGCAGGCATGAAGCGCGGGCCTCAGGAATGCAAGGCACATCTTATGAATATATACATACACACACACACACAGTTGCACACAACTCAATTATGCAACACGTAAAAGCCTCCAATGCAGCAACCAACAGTACTTCAATAGAGGCAAAAGGAAGAAGGGTTTAAAGCGTGAGCCATGAAGAAGTCCTATGGTCTGGGTATTCATAGAGAAGAAGGCTTGAAGTTCTAAGGACTGGGTATTTCATATTAGGGTTTGACTTGCATCATCTATTTAATAACTCATCTTTTAAGAAATCAGAAGATGAGAAAACTTATTTAATATCAGGGTTTGACTAGGCATTTAATAACCCTTTATGAGGCATGCCTAGGCCCACAAGGCACCTCAACCAAGGCGCAGGACGTTAATGAGCCTCGTGAATAGAGCCTTGACCTTAGAAAAGCGCAAGACCTTGAGCCTAGGCATGCCTCAAGCACCCTTTTAACAACTATGTTTGCCAAGCCAGAATATCTAACTATTTCTTTTGGCAGATTTTGACATGGATCTTTATAATAAAGAACCATAAATATTAATGGAATTCCACTTTCCAAACATGTCTCAGTTTCTAAATTTTTAAATAGACTTTGGGTTGAGATATGACATTGGAACTAGGAACCACAAACAGAGGAGATTCAGGAAATGAGGAGGTTATACAGGTCAGGCTAAAGTGTTTTTAGAATACTTTCTTAGTTCTTTCATATTTCTCTCTAACTCATTTTGCTCCAGTATTTTGTAACAGGCAGTAAATATTACAAAAGATACGATTAATCTAAGGCAACCAACATGTAAATCGGATGATAAAAGACATATATACTAGAACAAAAGGACGAAGTCAGGGCAGCTTGATAAGTGCTTAAGCTAGAACATATGTACCTGCTGTACAGAAGCATATAAGCTCCCTGTGAGAGCACTTCCTCCAGTTCAACTGCATCAACCTGCAAGCAATTGTGAACCAGTTTGGAAACAAATGCAAAGTGATGAAGTCAATTGAAGGCACATAAACCTGATGCTTGTATTAATGCTTTCAAGAGATAACATCATGCATATTACCGATTTATGAAGACAGAAGTTGGGTGAATACAAGTAATTAACGTAGAAAAAACCTCAATTAATGTAAGGGCTTAGAAAACCCTACTTCTGCTATAATAAGATGCTTCTAAACATATTTTCAGAAAAACAAAACAAAAACCTCTGAAATCTGAAGTAGATGCAACAAAAGCAGAAAGAGAGAGAGAGAGAGAGAGAGATTCCACCTTGCAGTCATCAATTCTATACCAATTTCCAGAGAAGTCCTTCGTATAGCAAATGTAATGGCCAAAATATGATGCATTCAACATGTCCACATGGACAACAACTGCATACAGCTTGTACTTATCATAGCCATCGGCAGCTTCACTCATGTAGGGACTAAGATCTAAAGTCTCTGGGAATGTCACCCTCTTATTAAGTTTCCCAAATCTCCCACTCTGCACAGAAAATAAGATGTTAAGAAGCACCAACTAATAGATAAGCAAAGATTCATCACTCATGCATCTTTTCAAGGAAGACATAACTTCATGATAAAGCTCACAACAGTACAGCTTTATTTACATCAGGAAAGATGATAATAATGATCCCATATCAATTGTCAACATCTTTCATAAGCAAACCTAATGTTTTCAAAAGTGTATTTGCAGATAGATAACTCTAGATGCACGAACCTGAAACCTCTTCAATGCAATTGTTAGAATATTTGGAGGCATATGAATGTTTAGTCGTTTCCATGCCAAGACATAGTCATTACAACTGCAGAAAAATTCAGCACTACAGTAAGTTGACAATATCATGCATCGACTACTAGCAAAATGAATAAACATAAAATTATAAAGAGTCGTTATTGCTGTCGTTGATTGTGATGATGATGAAAAGGTTACCAAAATATTCAAGAAAAGATCAAAGGATACCAAATCTTATGCTAGGTGATATGTTCAAATCGTCATGTAGTAGCAAGATCAATGTCTTGCTATAAAAGTAGCAAGAACAAGGTCTTGCTATAAAACTTCTAAAGAGAACATTCACAAAATGGAAGAGACATTGACTGAGAAGATGGACAAGTCGAGGATGTAATAGAAGGTAGGGTTACCTAGCATAATTAACATATGAATGTAACATATAGTATCAAGCAGAGGATGTAACAAGAGGTAGGCCAGGCCAAAAACATCGCTGTTAATGGTGAAGAAATTGGCTGTGCGAGGGACAATAATCCTAGAAAAGGAGAGTGTGGGGTGAGTAATTCACATACACAGGCGCATGGGCGGACCTAAGAGGGTGGCATGGGTGGCACGTGCCACCGTATTGTTTCGCGGCCGAAGGGTAAAAAATTTAGGTTTGTTAACGGTGCTACCGTATCGTTTTAGAATGTGCTACCGTATCGTTTTAGAATGTGCTACCGTATTTTCTTGAAATCCAAATGGTGCAACTAAAACCTAAACAAAACAAAGTCTAAATAACCAAAACCATACTTTTTGTAATTATTTTTGGGTATATATTGACCATTTTCAAAAGATGAAGACGCGTCGGGTACAAGTTTAGGAGTTGTTTATCGGTACTTAGGGCTGTAAACGAACCGAACAAACACGAACGGAGACTTGTTCATGTTCGTTCGTTTAACTTAACTGAACAAACGAACGAACATGAACGGTAAACGAACAAAAATCTTTGTGTTCGTGTTCGTTCGTTTGGAAATAAGGTGTGTTCGTGTTCGTTTATGTTCATTCGTAAACATGCTAAACGAACGAACATAAACGAACGAGCTAAACGAACATAAAAAAATATTATTTGAATTCAAAGTAAATAAATAAAAGATAATATATTAAACTTAATATATAAACGAACATAAACAAACGAATATAAACGAACGGTAAATGAACGAACGTTCACGAACATAAATGAACAAACGAGACTCTTGTTCATGTTCGTTCATTTAACTAAACGAACAAAAGAAAATAGTTCATGTTCGTTCATTTATTAAATAAACGAACATAAACGAACGGTAAATGAACGAACGTTCACGAACATAAATGAACAAACGACTCTTGTTCATGTTCGTTCATTTAACTAAACGAACAAAAGAAAATAGTTCATGTTCGTTCATTTATTAAATAAACGAACATAAACGAACTTATGCCGAACGGTTCATGAACGGTTCGCTGAACATTCGGTTCGTTTACAGCCCTATCAGTACTATAAAAAACATATTTTTTGTAATATTTTTAAATGTATATTATACTATATTTATTATATGGTGCCACCGTTTGAAAATTTTTCTGGGTCCGTCCCTGCACAGGCGGTTGTTTTACTCACAGGTTTAAATGACTAGTTTTGTTTCATCATTCTTCTGGTTTTAAAAAAGCACTCCCATCTTTTTGTTTTTGCATATTCGTCCATACGTTCACTTAACTACCCAGGCAGTATGGATGAAGGCATAGTGAGCTGAGAGCCTGTTTGTTAGCAGCTTAATGGGACTCACATCTTATTCAGTCAGCTATAGATGACTGTTTGGTAGTGGCTTAATGATATAGAAAGTGGCTTATTCAGTAAGCTTCTCAAGGGGCCTTTATGCAGAAAGCCAAGTTTTTTTCCAAGCATGTCCATCCCGATTAAAGAACATGCTCCTTCCATTTATGAAAAAACCCTCCCTAACGAAAACCTTCCCAATCAAACAACCCCTGAGTTTATTTAAGCTGAGTTCAACATATTTTATGCTTTTTCCAACAAGCTATATTACTGTATAAAGCTCCATGCTTGTGACTCAACTTTTACTGATCTCCATCCTTGGCAGATGCCTTCTTCTAAGCAATATGTCCACATAGGATGGGACATTATTCTCCAAAGGACAAAAACGTAGCCTGAGAGACACTCTATGGTAAAGTGGATACGTACATACCGCCTCAATGGTAAACATTTTTGGAATGTTGGAGTAGCAACGAGCAGCTCAAGCACATGAAGGAACAATCTCAAAATACGAGATTGACTATGACAACACTTTGCCCATGTCGTAGGTGACGGTACCTGTACTTCTGCATGGTATGACTCATGGCTTCTCATAGGCACGTTAAGTAACATTCATGTAGAATAATAACCAGGGAGGAGAATAGCCTTCAGGATTTGGTGAAGGACCTAATTGGAAATAATGGATGGACTTGGCCAGTTACTTGGTTACCTCATGAGGAACAGTAAGGAATTACATACCCAACTCTTAATGAGGGTTGCATGGATGTGGAAAAATGAAGATGTGGCACTGATTCCAGTTTCTGTAAATGGGATGTGGAGAAGTATAAAAGAGATAGGGGAGGCGGTTCCCTGGCACAAACTTGTGTGGCACAACAATCGAATACCTAAACGCTCTATGATCCTCTGGTTGGCTCTGGGCAACAGCCTTCAAACTCAAGATCACATGGCACTGTGGCAAACCGGGATCGTTGCAATGCCTTTTATGCCTAGACCCAAGACTCTCGTGACTATTTGTTCTTCCTATACAAGTTCTCTAGATGTGTTTGGACAGAATTGAAGGTTGTGCTAAAAATGGTGGTTGTTCCTGATGACTGGAATGGTTTAATAGCTAGCTTCCTACTAGGTTGTCTCTCTAACTCCGTGTAGAAATTAGAATGCGGTCCATAACCTCACTTTAGCAACCACAGCCTATCTCATTTGACAGGAAGGGAACAACCGTCTTTTTGGTGGGATGAGGCATACCATAAAGAAAATGGTGACAGTAATTAAAGGAGACATCCGATGGCGTCCGGCAACAGTCACCATGAGAGAGTCAGTTGCAAAAAAAGACATCCACATGTTGTTGAACATACCACATGTTAAGAGACATAAAGGGAGCTAAGATCGAAGATTTCAATAATATAGTGGAACTGGGAGCATGCGAAATGGGAGGATGAAGTTGTGGAAGACCGGTGACAAAAAGCTTGTCGGGATTCACTTTTGCTACAGAGGCCGTTTATTTTGGTTAATTAAGATTTTGCTTATTTCTATGTAAGCTTGAGTTTATTTTGATTGCTTGTTATGTGATATGAATGATGTTCCAACCACTTTTGTGTTCATTTAGTGCGCTCCAACTCAACTCTTGCGGCCTGTCCCATAAGGTGGGTAGAAATGCATTCTGGGCAGTAGTACCAGGCCGCTAGGTGTATCCTTTTGTTTGTGTTGATGAAATTGCCAGAAGTATCGTCCTCTTTCCAAAAAAAGAAGCTATGTCATGATGAAGATTAATATCAAAGCATGTGATGCACATAAATAGATCAGTAAGCTGCCCCGATATATCCCAGAAATTCTTTGAGAAAAAGAAAAAGGTAGAAACACCCTCTTGACAGCAAATGGCACAATATGCATCGGCAAGACAACTGAGAGACAGAACGAGGCAGCTGTGCGCCTGGGCCAAACACATGCATAGAAACACAGAAAGGTCAAAGCTCCTCTAAATGTTACTAATCATATATGCCCTTCTATTGAAACATGGAACATGCTTTCTTATCACTCCTTGGCCAGTTGTGTATAATGTAGCTGATCTTTCGATACCCCACCCTCCCTAACTTATCAAGTAGTCTAATTCAGTAAAGGACATAAAATGATGTATTGACCAAGTAGCCTCTGAATAGATCAAAAAACTGAATCCCCAACATACAATGATACAGCTAGAATTACAAAGTTCAGCCACTAAGAGAGAGCATGAAACCCTCATGCAGTATGATAACCAAGGTTCCAGCAGGATGATTTTTACTTCTCTTCTAAGTGTAGCAGTTTCATCTTCAGTAATACAGACAGATATGGGAAAATTATGGAAGAAGAAACAGAAGCAAAATAAAGTAAATCTACTGTAATGCAAAATGTATATCAAGCTTATTAGAAGTCCAAAAAGAATAAAGAAAACAAGTCCATTTTACCAGTTTGTTAAATAATAACGAACAACATCACAATTATGTAGAGTGAAAAAGTTGCAACTGAATCTCATATATAGGTAGTCGATGAATAGAGCAAAGAATGAAAATAAAGGCAATTACCCGTCGCATTTGTACATATTATCCCCATCAAGCCACTCTTTGGCTGTAAATTGGTCTAAGCATTCCTCAAGAGATGCAGCATCCCCTTGGATTTCAACAGTCAAATCCATCATATTTTCAAACTGATTTGAAACATTATTGCATTTTGTGCAGATCACCTAGTAAGCATTATAGACAAGCTTACCATTAGATAAATGTAAGCCTTTAACAAAAATAAATGAGTTCTTAGTTGGAATAAACAAGTAAACAATGGATAAGGGAGAAACATGGATCAATCACTAGCAATGACATGCAAAATGATTCCATATCCTACCAAAAGAAAGAAACAGAAAATCCCAACTAGGTCAAAGAAATCATGATACAGTTATATGATTCATATGAGTGTTAAGGGTGATTCATCAGACCTTCCTATGCTCGGAAACCATACAACATGTCATCTGTATGATGCAAACTCTTCAGAGATGTACACGTGGTAGTACAGAATCTAAGGCGAAAATAGCAAGACATGGTCGGCATAAATAAAGCTATAATCAATTCATTCTAAGCATTCTCATGGTAATCCCATAGAGAGAGCACTAGATTTTACAAGCTGGTCCATAGCCCTTTCACACCTTTGCAATCTCATAGTTGACCATGTAAGCCCATACATTTGCTTGCGATTGGACTCAACCCATTATTTTTGTTTTACTATAAAGTTCCGCTACAGTGAATAATTTGCTTTCTGTTAATTTGCCATACAAATAATATGTTCTACCTCACAGGTACAATTCAAAATAATATATAATTTCTTAAAAAATACCATGAATATATAGCATCAGCACACCCAAAAGGGCCAAAACGGTGATAATTTCAATTGATTACATGCCAAATTATTAATGTAAATTTCTGATCATAACTTGTCAATAATTGACATAAATCATCTGTTAGTTTTTTTTTAGTGTGTTGTGCCTAGCTTTCTCATGAAATTTATCTATTTATTTGCTCTATGTTATTATTAAAACAATTGGGTTGGGTGGTTTGTTTATGCATTTTTATTTATCTATTAGTTTAGGTTTGAATATTAGATAGTTATTCTATTTTCTGTTATTTTGTGAATTCCTGAAAGTAGTATGGAATTTTGAGACAATAAACTTAGAGCTAAAATTGGGGGTCATTTCAAGTACACCAAAAGATAACATGCATCTTAAACACACATTACAAAGTTGAAGAGCTACCTAAATTATGATAAAGCATGAAAAACAAGACAAAGGAATTAAAAAGGATCACTCTGCCAGATGGATGGAGATAACCAACTCCCAATAGAACTTGATCATTAGCATCCGGTGAACGTCTTCTTGTACACGACAACATACTTCGGCTATCTATCTCTCTTATAAACTGAAGACCCATACGTTAAAGACTTAAAATACACAGTTGTCTCCAAAAGTTGACCACCAAACCATCATGCCCCATTCGGCCACACACGTGACCCACAATCATAATTTCAATCTTCTGCAAACCCTACTAAATCGTATTTATAGATCTCATATTTCAAGAAGGCTTGATGAACCCCCTATCTTATATAAAATGCTAGCTAGCCTAGTCTCTTTCGAAGTGCTCGAAGTCGGCTAAGGTTCAATATATGTTTTCTTCAATTAAAGCCACATAAACAAGTCAACGCAAAGCTCTTTATTGACTTTAACAAAAAGGAGTTATATTGATATGGGTCACATAGAATCTGCAGAAGGTTATTATTGCAATAAAATGATATTATTAAAAATAAACGGAAGTTTAAAGATATTCCACGCTTTTAAATTTTCTATTCACCAGGTGGCTTAGATCTTGACTAAGCCCTTTTAAGCGCTCAGATTATCCATATAAGCAATGTTGGTTATGCTGAACATCTATGCACTAACTTGAGGATTACTAAATGTGAAGATCTTTATTAACTATTTTATGTTTAGACCCATTCTTTGTTCTGTGAACAATGGAACTATCTTTCCTGGCATTATCCAGCACACATAAACACAACAAAACAACACCTACGAAAGCAAAGGGACCCTTTCTTATCTATTTTCATATATAATATAAAGAGAATAGAAAGCAATTAATACAAAGGCACCTGAGATTGGAGGCGACCCCCAAATATATGTTGAATAAGAGTTGTCTCCTGAGAACTGGGATGCACAGCTCTTTCTCCACCATATTCATCAAGGCAAACTGATTGCATAGTATCAATAACAAACCTAGTATACATGAAAGTTATGTGATCAGCAATCACTGCATAAACAAAATTTAAAATTCTTCAGATTTGCAATATATGCCTATGTAACTAGTCAGATGTGAAGTAAAAGAAACCTCATGAACTCGTGAGCATCCTCCTGTTTTCCATAGCCAAGATTTCCACCAATATTAGGCAATCTTGATAAAATGTTGATTGGTGAAAAAGCTTGGTTACTTTGGCTGGCTCTTTCCACATGATCTTGAAGTTCACACAGGAAGCACCAATCATTTCGCCGGCCTGAAACCAAATACATGAAAAGTAGGTGTCACAAATTTTCTGACAAATTGAGAGAGAGAGAGAGAGAGACAGTCAGAGTGAGTAGCAATTACATCCTCTCCGATGGCCTTTCTCCAGCAAATAGGCAGCAAGTGGTCGAGTGTATGCTAAGCATTGTAAAACTACATTGGCAAAGCAGCTGCTAAAAGAAACACAACCATTAAAACTCCTAAAACCATAGAACAATATTCTATACGGAAGCAGCCAAACATGAACAGAGAAAACTAATGGGTGCAGTACAGTAGCCATAAACATAACCTGTTTCCACAATTCAGAAGCCCACAAGGAGGGAAGCCTTGCTTCTGCCAGTTAAAGAGCTCCACAAATTTTTCATAGGGAAAAAGAATCTAAAACAGAAATAATCAACTGAATATTAGTGACTATATATTGAAATCAATTTGGACAAGAGAACACAGACACCAATTTGGACCTTTTTTAACTGGGTAGAAATCCCGGTGCCAGGAACTAATGCAACTGCAGTGGAATTTCTCCTTCCTTGCAAACTTGATTTGCAGGACAACCGAAATTCTTCACATTTCTCCTTGTGCCCAGATAGCCAATGAGATTTTTGACATGATTCTGAGCTGAAAGATGGAATAAAAAAAACCACAACTAGAAATATAAGAGCAAAATACGAATCAACTAAAAGGTCTGAACCATTCAAAGATCCAAAAACCAACGACTAGCAATCGCGAACCAGACTTCATAGAAATTCAGAATATCATATGGGAAGAAGTGAAAAATTTTAGCAGTAATGCAGAACATATATCACTAAGAAGCTTCAAACATTTATCTTCAGGAGTAAAATCTTGCATCATCCAATCACATAGCAAAAAAAATTGCATAATAATGGTGCTTATGGAGACAATCATCAATTTCAATAAATTTAGTTCTTTATCCCAAAAGTGATTTCTAATCCCTAAGTAATATTATCAAATCTCTTATAAGTCTCAATTGAAAACACAAGATTGTAAACAACCAGTGATGCACAATTGAACCCACTACTCACAACAAGAAAGAACGAAGCTCGTCAAAAGTAGCAAACTTTGTGATCAAACACATGCACAATTCAGTAGGCCTTGCCAAAAGAAAACCTCAACAAACTTCGGAATTTAATTTTGTTGAAAAGGGTTCTAAGAGACTGGTATGAACTTGACACATAGATACAAAACTAATAGAAGGCTTACAACATCAATCAACAAACTCTCACAAGTAGACACAGATTACGAAACAATGAAGAATTTTGTAAAAGGGTGATGTTCTGAACCATGTCAATTGAAGTAAAACGTTATCAGTAACCAAATTCGACTGATGAGTCCACTTGAGTCCAAAACTAGGTTTTTGAACATAATATATAGACAAATAACTTACACAAGCAATAATTTTTTCAATGAAAAATTGGGGCCTTGGTGCATTCACCACTATAAAGTATGAACGTTGTCACCTGGAAACTGCCATAGGGTAAAATTCCCAAGGAATCATATATCATCGGGTAATTAAACTATATATCTATTTGTGTGGCATTAATTCAACCGCCTTGAACTACCTAATATGGAAACAACCCTGTATATTCCAATATCATGTCAAGAAAACAGACATAAACATAAGATTGAATCAATGGTTATGATGAACAATGGTGTTAATTAATAAATCAAAAAACCAAGAGCAACAGTGCGCATGTACCAGTATCGAACCACTTTGCATCGCGAACAATATTTCTTCGTCAAGCTGCCGCAGACAACGCAGGAATCACTAGTCGCGACGAGACCCGGCATCGACGACGACGAAGGGGATACAACAGTGTCTGATTGAGAGGAGGATGAAGAAGATTGGGAATGGGAATCGAAACGGGGGTCGTCGTCTCCTTCAACAAAAAAGTACTTGGAAGCAGTGTTCTTGACTAGGTAAATCAATCCAAAGAAAACAGCGAAAGCTGTGATGCCGAGTTGAAGATACCAATTGAGATCCAGAGGATTATATTCATGCATCGACGACGACTCTGCTGAATCTTATTAGAATTATTAGGGTTTTTCATCGATGATTCATTAGAAATTCGGACCCAAAACCAGCACAGGCTGGTACTAGTAGCCTACTGGCGATCGATTTCGATGAGAATTGGGGAATTCTGAGGGGGGTTTCTTCTCACGATCGTTCGTTTTGTCGAATAAGCTCCGGAGATTCCTTCCGATTATCATGGAATGTTTGCATTGCCAAACCCAAAGGGCCTATTAAACAAGAAAATTAAATAATGAAACGGTGTCGTATAAGTCCCTTTCCAATTATCACCCCAAAACCCAAACTAATCCTTGCGGGATTCGAGTTTGATTATAAATCTACTTCCTTTTTTTTTCTTTTAAAGAACTAATTGGTTATTTACTTGCAACTTAATTAGGTTTATTGGTTTATCTATTTTATTTGTACAGTTTATTTGGGTTATTTACTGTAAAGTAATTTTTAGATATTAAAATTTATTACAATGAATGTTTATTGTATGTTTATCTGTACTATATTATAAAGCATTTGATAAAAACTCTCAAAAACCATTTTTTATACATGAAGTATTGTTTATTGAAGCATATTACTTAAAATTTAAGATTACAAGTAAATAATACATAAGTATAACTTATTAAAGCTCTATATTTGAATTTGTGTAATTAACTATTAGATAAATATAATCAAATATTGGATAAACATTTCATTTTAAATATAAAAAATCTAAAATATAATTATAATAATCATTATCTTCTGACATAATACTTAATGATTATCTTTATAAAAAATTATATTATTAAATCAAAAATAAATTATTTTTTATTAAACCTAAATTAAGTTATAATAAAAGAAGTTGAATTAAATAAATTACACAACAAAACAACAGTTTTAAATAGTTAATTTATACTATATTATAAAGCATTTGACAAAAACTCTTAAAAATCAGTTTTTATGCATGAAGTATTGTTTATTGATGCATATTACTTAAAATTCAATATTACAAATAAACTGTGTGCAAGTACAATTTATTAAAGTTTCATGTTTGAATTCATGTAACTAACTTTAGATAAACATAATCAGATAGATGATAAACATCTCATTTTAAATATATATAAAAAACTAAAATATAATTAGGATAATCATTGAGTTCTAACAAAATACTTAATTATTATCTTTATAAAAAAATTATATTATTAAACCAAAAATAAAAAAATAAATTAAAGAAATACACAAAAAAGAAGAAATTTTAAATACTTAGTTTGGTACTAATATCAATGTATTTTTTTTATTTTTTATGATACTTTCATATTTAATATTCTATTCAAAAATAAAAACATTATATCTTTCTCAAAATCACATAAAACCGTATTATAACATCGATTAAGACAAAAAAAAAATGAAACACTAAAATCGAGATATATCTCGATGCATTGTACGAGTACCCTTCTAGTTTAATACTAATATCGATATGTTTTTAAAAAAATTAAGATATTTTCAAATTTATATTTTATTTTAAAAATTAAAAACATTATCGTTTTTCTCAAAATCACATAAAACAGTATTATAACATCGACAGGGAACAAAATAAAACGAAACATTAAAATCGAGATGTATTTTACTGCATTGCTCGAATACCCTTCTAATTTCTAAATATTAAAATTTATTACAATGAATGTTTTACTGTAAATTTATCTTTATTTAAATGGTTTATGATTAATGAGAATTTACAGACTTTCAATTTTCTCTATATGTGTTGTTTTATTAAATACGCTCCTTGAAACGAAGTGATAGTGAAATCAAGTTAAAATTCAATATTTGAGATAACTTTTATATGTTTAAGTTTTAAAACGTTATTCTACTATGTTTTATGTTGTAGATGCAAAATATGATTTGTCACTCTTATTAAAATAATATTCATGCATTGTTTTTGTTTATTAAAATAATATTCATGCATTGTTTTTGTATGTCTATCTATACTATCTTATTAAGCAAATTTAACAAAAGTCTTAAAGTCTTAAAATAGTAAAGGACCAAAATATCCTTTATACTTTAGGTCACTTTTTCACCCTCTCCTCTCCTCACATACATTCACCTCCTCACATACACTCACCCCCTTACAACCGATTTTTTTAAAATTATAATTTTAAATTTACATTTTATACCCCCATAATTAATTAATTTATTTATTTTACGTGATTTATTTTTAAATGTTTCATTTTAAACTTTTATCAAATTAACATACATAATCGTATATCAATTAAAACATGTTTAAAAAAACAATTTTATTTTTAACAAATTATACCATTATAATCGTCTCGTTAATACCTTCGAAATGAGTCAAATGTTGAATAGTTTTTGACTTAATTATATTATTATATATTATATATACTGTGAAAAAATATTTTTAATATTTACGATTTATACTTTTATAGTTATTTATTTTTATATATATATATATATATACTATATATTTTGGGGTTAGACTGTCTAAATTGACTGTATAATATGTTCTGAATTAATATGTTCTTAGGTTTTTTTGAATAATATATATATACATGTATTAATTCAACCTTAATCTGAGTTTCTGGACAAGAAAAAGAGGGTAAGCAGTTGAAATTTCATTCTAAAACCCATCTTTTTTTGTCTTTTCATGACATATGATCTGTCAAATTTGTAGTTTTCTTTATTGGTTTTGAGTGTTTATCTTAAAACTCAAGTTTCTTGGTTCTTTGCTCTTGGTGTAAATCGAACACATTTATAGAGTCGTTTAAATATGTTGGATTTTAAATATATTAGATTTTAAACTGTCGTACAATTTTCATCGATAGTCTGTAATTGGAACCATAACTCTTATTTATTCAAATTGTATTAATATGTAAAGACCAAGTGTAACATATATCATCGTTAAATCTTATYTYATAAAAYCAGTGAAACTTCAAAATCGTTAAAATTCATGGCTCTTGCCACATTGCGCGGGTACACAACTAGTCAGTTTATAAAATTTGCATAATGCGTGATACCATGATGTTATCGATAAAAGAATACCAAAAATTGTTTTATAGATAAGACCTCTCTGGTTTTTTATAGCAAAAATGTTTTGATTGTTGTTTTACAATATATACACAATTATTTTGCCTTTGTATGAAAATATCTTACATATATTCATATATATACTATATTATAAAGTATTTGACAAAAACTCTTAAAAACTATTTTTTTAAGTATTAAGTATTGTTTATTGATGCATATTATTGAAAATTCAATATTACAAATGATTTTGCGTAAGTAACAACTTATTAAAACTTCATTTTTAAATTCGTGTAACTAATTACAGATAAACATAATCAAATATATGATAAACATTTATTTTAAATATAGGAAATCTAAAATATAATTAAGATAATCATCGAGTTTCTAACCGAAAGTTTAATTATTATCTTTAATAAAAATTATATTATTAAATAAAAAATAAATTACTTTGTTATAAGCCTAAATTAAATTATAATAAAAAATTGAATTAAAAAAGTTACACCAAAAAAGGAGAACTATTAAATAGTTAACTTAATACTAATATCGATTTTATTTTATTTTTGAATTTTTTATACTATCTTCAAATTTATATTTCATTCAAAAATACATTATCGTTTTCTTAAAACTACATAAAATCGTATTATATCGACAGAGACAAATAATAAAAACTAAACATTAAAATGGAGATTTATCTTGCTGAATTGTGCGAGTACCCTTCTAGTATATATACATATATATGTTGTATTATAAAGTATTTGACAAAAACTCTTAAAACCCATTTTTTATGCATATTGCTTAAAATTTAAGATTACAAGTAAATTATGCGAAATACAACTTACTAAAGCTTCTTATTTGAATTTGTGTAACTAACTGCAGATAAACATAATCAAACAAGGGATAAACATCTCATTTTAAATATAAAAAACCAAAAAAATATAATTAAAATAATCATTGACTTCTAACAAAATACTTAACTATTATCGATATAAAAAAATTATATTATTAAACCAAAAATAAAAAAAATGAATTACAAAAGTACACAAGGAAACGAGAAATTTTAAATGGTTATTTCGGTATTAATATCAATATTTTTTTTTCAATTTTTTATTATATCTTTATATTTATATTTTATTCAAAAATAAAAACATTATTATTTTCTCAATATCACATAAAACAGTATTATAACATCGACTGAGACGAAGAAATAAATAAAACGAAACATTAAAATCGAGATTTATTTCGCTGTATTGTGCGAGTACCTTCTAATATATATATATATATATAGAGACACATTGTTGAACTTTAATTTCTTTATTATTGGTGTGGATTAAAAGATTAATTTTTTTTTTTTCTTATGTGTATGTATAGAGAGAAACCAAAAAAATAATGTTAACTTTGTGAACTCAATGGAACAATCAGAATCATTATTAGTCATGGTTACTTCAAATGTTATAGTTGGTGATTAAAGGGTACATATGTAATTTTTATTTATGAGTTACTTTATTGTATTAAAGGGGATGCTACAAGAAAATTGCTTGTTTTTAGGAATGATAATCATATCATCCTTTTCAAGATTCTCAATAATTATGTTCCAATTAATTTGAATGATGGATAATCAAAATGAATACATTAACATCCAACATATTGATTCGGATGATTTTTCATTTAACGGGTGTCGAGCCTGGCAAATAGTGAAGTTTATAATTGATGTCTATTACCTCTAAAACGAAACTTGTGATAGTGATAAGTAGGATCGTCTCTTCAAGGACTCGGTGTTAATCGTAAGTCCAAGACGTAATCACGTGCAAATTCATTAAAAACAATATATATATAAAGTGAAACAACCCACCACGCACTAAATAGTATTAATAATCAAAACTCATACATTTCCATACATCATGTACCAACAATATACAAACTTTTTTCCAAAAATGTCTTTCTTACATCTTCTTTTTACCTTTATCCTGAGATGGTGGATGACCTGCAAAACAATTTATTACAACAATTGAGGGTTAGGCCAAAATGTCTAGTGAGTGAATTACCCTCTTATAAACATAAATTATTGCAAATCCCAAGATAGTTCAAACCTGAATTTTAACGTTGATTTAATATTTTAGTTATCCTGTCAATCCATCTATCGTGGTTACACCGTCATTTCATCTATCGCG